GAGAGATAGAAAGAGAGAGACTAAGAGAAAGAGTCACCACAACCGACCTGCTGAACCAGGAAGAAGAAAGACAGGTCTACCAGCAGATAAGCCCTGTGTTATCACATAGCAGAAATGAAGACTCGTGTGAACTTCCATCTACACTCCACCAAATTCTCTATTACAAGGAGGACTTACAAATATCCAGACATCTGAAAGATGGGACTAGGGACACTGCCAACCTGGCAGCCCAACTGGAGCAGACAGAGAAGCCTTACATAACCAGTCATTAAATATGTACGCACACCGGCCCTATTAATATTCATGCTGTAATTATTCTTTCACATTCACATTCAATGTGTATTCATTCTCCATAGCCACTCAGGCTAAGAAGCATAGCCCAGAGCCAGAAGCCTATCCTAGGAAGCAGGGGGACACCCTGAGCGCGGTGCCAGTCCACGGGAGGACACACGCCTACTCAAACACAGAAAACTCCACTCACACAGAGCCCGGGATCAAAGCCACGGTACTGGACGCAAAGCCACAAGGCTGCCCACTGAGCCTCCGTGCTGCCCTAACAGCAAAAGCTTGTTTGTGAAACTGATTTATGTTTATTGTTTTGGTCGAACTCATTGCCTTGCTTTGGCAATAACTCAAATACTGCTACCGCTGTTAAGTGACTTCCGAGCAGAGGGACTGACAGACAGACGGACGGACAAAATAAGCAAACAAGTCATCCGAAAAGATGTTAAAGTGGTTTGTAAAGTCTGGGAGCCCTAACCGCAACGCTGTTTTTGCAGATAGAATGCACACTGTATAATCGGGGCTTACTTAACGAGACCAGCAAAGAGCCGGAGCGGTCGGTGGATCGGCGCTGCCAGGCATGGCATTGAGTGCAACAGAGCACCGGCGATCTCTCCTCAACCTTCGCCAAGTACATTATTCAATGTTACACTTAGTTCCCTTTTTTCATTGTGGAAGAAAACAAACTGACAAGTAAACAGTGATGGGGGACCACCTCATCATTATATAACTATAGGCAGCAGAAGTTCATTTACTGACAAGACCGCAAAGTGCCCAGATCAAAACTCTGGCCGGTAGCCAAACATCACCGCGTTTGTTATACAAACTTGACTGCCAGCTTTGTAAATATTACCCTGCCCTTAAACACTCTGAATACTACAAGTCTCAATATAAAACTTGATAAATACTGACTGTTTGACCTCAGCCCTGGTTACTTTTTTTTTTTACAATGTTGTACCAGAAGACTAAGATACCAAATAAAAGCTGTATAGAGGAGCAGAGCCCCAGCCACCCTGATGCACCTGGTACCTGAATAAGGGCGCCGTTAGGTCCGATCACTCGGGACTCTAAGTATTTTAAGCCTAGCCTCAAGTATTCTAGCCCTATGCCTATCTTCCTTCAAAAAAAAAAAGACGTCAAGCCCCAGGTAAACTTGACTTAGCCGCTGATCCTTTCAATAGCCAGAAACTCCTCTGACCTGAACCCACACAAGTTCAACCCTCAGCAAGGACCAGCTCCATCTGACAGCCACCCATGAATGCTTGGAGAGCCATTTTCCGTGAGGACTGCCATACCCATCCGTATGCTGTAAAAGCAATCGATCGCTAGGGATTACTTGCGGGGGGGGGTTACAGAAATGAGCATCACAGGTGCTGCTTAGCGCGGTAAGCGAATAATCCTGGCCAGGGGCGGATTAACGCACAGGCTAGATATGGCTTAAGCCTAGGGGCCCCACGTGTGCCAGCCTGCAAGGGGGTCCCCATTGGCGCGGAGGGGGGTGGGGTTGGGGGCCCCACAGACTACTGTAGCCTAGGGGCCTCTGTACACCTTAATCCGCCCCTGATCCTGGCACAATGTTCCGGCGACTAATATTATCAGAAGCCTAGGGAGCATGTGAGGACGTATACATGCTTGCGGGAGATTACAGGAACACGTGTTTCCCAAATAAATTAATTTGACAAGAAGACAATGGCTAAGAACTGGGGTATTAAATCCCTCGCTCGTCAGAATGTCAGAATAACGAGAATTTTTCTGAAACTTAATTTCACTTAATTTTCTGAACTTATTCGCATTTCCGCGAGATCTAGTCGACCGCGTCGCGGTGTTAGTTAACCAAGGTCAAACACGCAAGTAACTCAGCCTGTCTGTAGCCTATGCTGTTCATGAAAACAAAAAGTGAAAGGCAGACGCAAACTTAACGCAAAACTTCTCTTTACGTCATAATTACAATACAAGCAATTTCTGGGAAGACGGAAAGAATCTGTATGACGGGAAGAGATAATTAAATAAATTACATAATACGAAGTGACTTCAGAGTGTGCTTGGTTTTGTTAACAAGACATATCGGGTTCTGCCTTCTTCGGGTTTGAAACTCTCCCTCACCTTGTCTGTCAGTCATGGGGGTAAGTTGGGGGTCGTCGCTCTCCTGAACCCATGCTTTGGTGGTCTTTTCGGGGACCAGCGACACTGTGTCCCTCGGTGTCGTATGGGCAGTAGTTAAGATCTTAGGGGACGCCGCTGCAGTGAGTGATGGTACGGGAACGGCTTCGCCCGTATGTTTTATCGCAGTTTGTGTAGCGTTTCTAGCTTCAGCGGCAGGTTTAGTGCCCGATGGGGTTACAGTGACGGTGCTTCGTGCAGTGGTAAGAGCATGCCGCACTCTATTTCCAAAAGTCCCAGTGGAAACGGTGGTTGGAGCCGGTGTCAGCGCAAAAAAAGTGGCCGCTCCGATCCTGTCCTCCGGGAGGTGGTTGGGCATAGTGGTGGAGTTGGTTGGTCTCACGGTGGACCCGGGGAATGAAACGGACCCCTTTCCAACAGACGGCACATCGCTTCTGCTGACGCGCGGTGCAGCCTCGTATAACCCAATGCATACAATTAAAATGAAATACAAACTCGGCTTCACGAACATAATTAGGAATGTGCACTTCATGGTATTCCTAACTCTCCATGCAGTTGCCGGAAAATGCCACCTTCTTATAGTTCTTGCCGATCTCCAGCTTCTCCCACTCAGCTCCTGATAAGGACAACTTGTTTTTCAAGTAGGACGTCCGCCCCGGCAGCGCGCGCCACCCGCTCTAACGGTTACTCCTACGCCGAATGACAGGCTCACTACTCTACTATGCTCCCACAGGAGCCCCGCCCCCTCACGTGCTCAGCCGATAATGGACACTCAGATGGACCAATGAAAATTGCGAGGGGCGTGGTCGACAGTATCAATGGCTTGAAGGGCGGAGTCCTGTTCACTTCCATCTCCGCGAAGAGCCTTCGGCCAGTTGCATAAATACAGAAACATTCCTAACCAGGAGCTGGAGTGACGTGTGCTAAATATACCAACCTGTTTAGAATCAGCGATATCTGGAAAACTTACACAAGAACAGTGCGAATTGGTAGATTCCTGTCAATCAAGGTCATTCATTATTTGCCGAGATAATTCAGACAGTCTGATTGAACCTGCCTGCCTGCTGAGGTTAGTTTTAAGGTAAATTATCAAAACCATAAGTAACACATTACGTTTTCTTAGTTTATTTCGTACAGCTTTAGATTTGCCTAGTATTCGAAAAGTTTTATAATTAATTTTAGATACTAATAAGAAAATACATGCTTTAAGGGAAATCGGGCGAAAGTGTAACAGATAACTTTAGTCAAATGGGGCACGACTCAGGTGTTTTCATAATTCAAGTCTATGTTGTAATGGCGTAATTATGCCATTCGCAATATTCATTGGAGGTTCCCTATTTACGTAATGTAAAACTGAAAAAAAACATTTATGTATCGTCCCATTAAATGAGACAGGCCTATAACTTCGGCCAAAGCTTCTGTACAGATAATGTTCATACCCTGAGAATCTACTGCTGTACGGATTATTACAGCACAGGACAGGCCCGAGAATCTCAGCGACCCAAAAGCGCCATCTTCTGGTACGACATTTCGTGTGAGTAGCAGATATCGAGTACTTCATTATTCATTGGCAGGCTTCCATAAATAAATAAAAACATATAGCGCAATAAAGCACAGCGAGTAAAGACTTTTTGATACAACGTTTATCCACTACGTGTATCTAAAGAAATATGAAATTCTAACAATTCACAGAACCAAGGGCATAACTTTCGGTTGAGCGTTAGGGAGGGGGGGAGGGGGGCGGCTTGGGGGTTGTACTGGCTGGTTTTGATTATTGGGGGGGGGTGTTACAACCCGCCCACCCCCCTTCCATAATTTATGCCCATGCACAGAACCCAAAGTCTGCTCGGTTCAGGTCCCAAGAGTACTGCTGTACTGCCGTAGTACTCTTGTAACCTCCTGAACTTTAAATAGCTTCAGTTATTCTGCAAATCGTTATGACAATAATAACATCAGGAGAAAACATGAATATAGACTTGTTTCTTCGTCAGCGGCCAAGTCACAGGGGATGCATTCTTTACGATGCACGCAATTCTAGGTGTCTGAATGAATTAACGCATATCATCCATCCTGTCGGATAGCTTGGAACCCATTCAGGGAGCACAGGAAACAAGGCGGGGTACCTATCCATCCAAGGGCCCACCAGAGGTGGATAGTTCAGGTCCAGAAAGTGAAAATCCAGACCGAGATATTGTTTCAACCAACCAGTTATTCCATACTCTGTGACTGTGAGTCTTTATACTTAGCTGCTTGGTTGAAATAAAATCCTGGTGTGGATTTTTACTTTCTGGGCCTGAACTAGCCACCTCTCGGACACACACAAGCGCATCAGGCAATTTTGAGCCACCAATTCACCCTAACCCAAATGTTTTAGGGAGAGAACAGAGTACCCAGGGAAATATGAATTTTGTGACATTTAGTCTGGGGCTGTGCAAAAGCCCGATGATAGTGTCAAATGAGTATAAGAAACACGATATATAAAAGTAAACACCCACCAGGAAACCGACACCATAAAGACGAGGTATACTTAGTTATGACGATGGGTTATGCCTGCGCCGCTTCCTGGTCAATAAGCATCACCATTTGCTTTTTCATATTGTACATGTATGTGTGTCAGTGTGTGTGTTTCACTTAAGCAAGCTTGACATCCTCGCTTTTGTGTTGGATTTAGCATTGAAACGCACGTGACAGGATGGCTTTAATTTAGGCTAGATACCCGAACAACACAAGCATCGCTTGCAGTAAAATCCTTTTTCGACGGATTGAAGGGGGGATAAGAAAGCGGATGTGACGTACAAAGGTCACCGTCGCCCGCATCTTCAACGGTGGACGCGATGGCGCCGTTAGACTTGGATAAATACGTGGAGATAGCGAGGGAATGCAAATACCTACCCGAGAATGATTTAAAGGTGAGCAAAGAGCTCTTCTCGTTTCGCGAAAATAATTACGTAAATGCAGCTCCTCGGTTGCGCTGGCACGCATTGCATTGTGAAGCGGACGTACATGGCGTAACAGATACTTAGAAATGACAGCTGTGTATACGCACCGCAGCCTACTGCTTTGGAAGGATAACTCCCTGAAACTAGTGTGATCGGTTATCAGGGTCGATGGAAATCCATGGGTTATGTGCCGCTGTTTTACTGTCAAATTGTAGTTTTGCTACGATGGCACTTGGCTGTGTAGAAACAGGGTGGTCATGATGCAGTGGGTTTATTTGCCATGCAAATGTTATTATGCTTTATCTCGTTATGCATTCAAGACGACGACCTGCAAGACCTTGCAAGTACTTCGTGTGTGTGCTTTACGCGTGTTTCGTGGCTGGTATATGTGCTGGTGTGTGTGATCTAGATCCGGATGGGTACTTCTGGGGGCGGACGTGTTAAAATCGGCAATACTGCGACATGACTGAGCCCTGGATGGCCCATCCTTTGCAGAGACTCTGCGACTACGTGTGTGACCTTCTTCTGGAGGAGTCCAATGTGCAGCCCGTCTCCACTCCGGTCACAGTCTGTGGAGACATACATGGACAGGTAGGTGATGGCCTTCTAATACAAGATAATGATTTAATGTTTATTTTTTGCACGATTAATTAACAGTATCAGCTGGACTGACGTTGTTCCCTGTTTTCTTAACCTTCTGCCCTACTGCTTTTAGTTTTATGACCTGTGTGAACTTTTCAGAACTGGGGGGCAGGTTCCAGACACAAACTATATTTTTATGGTGAGTATTGAAATTTGTTGGGCTGGCCTGTGTGGGTTATTGTGTTGTCTGAAGATGGCTCTGTGCTGTCTTTCTACATTTTGACATCACTTTTGACCGAACTTCGTTATTCTGAACATGGCAGAAGACAGTTATACCATGCCAGCACCTGTCTATAAAAAAGATTTTTTTACCTCATTCATGGATTCTGTTGAAATGCTATTTCTTGTCATTTTTTTATTGCCTGTTAATGTAACGACCGCAGATTGTTCTGGAGCATTTTGCATGACCAGATTCTCCGGATCATGATGTTCTGCTCGTAGGGTGACTTTGTTGACCGGGGATACTACAGTCTGGAAACCTTCACCTACCTGCTGGCGCTGAAAGCCAAGTGGCCCGACCGCATCACTCTGCTGCGGGGAAACCACGAGAGCCGGCAGATTACACAGGTCTACGGCTTCTACGGTGAGGTTGATTTGCCGCTTCTCAGTGTCACGGTACATGGGGAGCTGCCACCACAAATCATCCCAATTATCCCTGAAGAGATGAGAGTGAAAGGTGCAAAACACAGAGAATCCACGCTTGCAGCCTTAACTGCAGCTGACAGCCGTCAATTTGATTCTGATGTATCAACTGGAGGAGAGTATCATTTTTAAATGTGATTTTCCTATGAAAGCAAATAAAACATTCTTGATAATGCATCGGGAAAGCAAGCTTATAGTCTACATATTGTGGCAAAATAGCTTTAATGGTGTTCAGTCTCTTTTCTGATGCTTTAAATGTTATTGGCACTTGCCCTTGATTGGCTGGCATTTAGGTATAGCGTGCATGTCCCGATGTGGTTTGAGTCCAGTAAAAGTGTTTAGGTGTGGATAGATTCTTGTGTTATCCTGAAATCTGCCTTCTTGTCTTCTAGATGAGTGCCAAACCAAATATGGAAACGCAAATGCTTGGCGATACTGTACGAAAGTGTTTGACATGCTTACAGTGGCAGCCGTGAGTATAGCAGTTTATTAATGTTATGATGCAGTGACTTTTTGGTGCTTCAGGTGTGTACAGTCTGAAGTCTACAGAGCTGTACTTCAGGTTGGAACCCATCCCAGGCAGCACAGGAAAAAAGGTGCAGGTTTCGCGACTTTAAACCAGCTATAATGCAAAGGGGAGGGGCTAATTTGGCTACGCTAAGGGATGCACTAAGGGACACTGGAGAGGATGCACCTTTAAAAATTTTGTTGCTGTGGAATCAACAATGACAATAAAGCATCTGAATCTGAATCTGAAACACCAGCATCACCAAAAAGATTAAGATTCATTAAGAATTTTTGTTCCTTGCAGTAAATTGTCTTTGATGTGAGTTTGGCTCCATACCTGGTAGATTTGAGACCTGTCCTCCTCTTGCTCTGGTCGTTTGATGGTGATGGTCTCCTGGTACAGCTTCTGGACGAGCAGATCCTGTGTGTGCACGGTGGCCTGTCGCCCGACATCAAGACCCTGGATCAGATCCGTACTATTGAGCGCAACCAGGAGATCCCGCACAAAGGGGCCTTTTGCGATCTGGTGTGGTCAGACCCGGAGGATGTGGACACATGGGCTATTAGCCCAAGGGGAGCTGGTTGGCTCTTTGGAGCTAAGGTCACAAATGAGGTTAGATGCAAACCCCATTCAGAAAGCTAAAAGCTCTTGTGGTCATGGCTGGTATTTGTCATGTGATCCTTCATTTTGTGTCATTATTTTTTAACCCCCCCCCCCATGTTACAGTTTGTCCACATCAACAACCTGAAGCTCATCTGCCGCGCCCACCAGCTCGTCCATGAGGGTTACAAGTTCATGTTTGACGAGAAGCTGGTGACGGTGTGGTCGGCGCCGAACTACTGCTACCGCTGCGGGAACATCGCCTCCATCATGGTGTTCAAGGACGCCAGCACGCGGGAGCCTAAGCTGTTCCGTGCCGTGCCGGACTCTGAGCGTGTCATCCCACCCAGGACGACGACACCATACTTCCTCTAAGTTTGAGAGTTATTAACGCACCCTCTCTCCCAGGCCGCTGATGTAGATATTACCATTTTTCTGTTCTCCACTGAACGTTTAAGGTTTGATGTTATTAAATTGTGCTGTTTTTAATCGCAGAATTTACTGTCTCTGGTATCACCCAGTAAACGTGGAAATGTTTCTTTTTTCCTCGTTCATGTTTTTCTCCTTGCTATGCAGGCCTCTCATTATGTCGCTCTACGATAAATCGGTCCTTAACCATGTGGAGGTTAGGTGTTCTTTTGTTATTCTTACTACCATTGTGACACAGTCACACTTGTTGCTATGGTACTTCATCGCACTCGGTTGTTTTGCTCGAATCCAGAAGTTGGTGGTGCAGCCATGAAATGAATCTGGCTTACGTTCCAAGAGGATGTTAAGTGTCTGCTTTGAAAGCGGACATGACTTGAGGAGAAAATGAGAGATGCAGGATGTGGGACTTGGTCTGGTGACATCGTAGCTTTGCTCTGAACAAAATGATATGTGAGCGCTTATGGTTCATTTAAAAAAAATGCAGCTCTGATGATATAATTTGTAAGTATACATATAAATATAGTCTCCAGTGCAGATATAGGCCTACTATGAGGTAAGCTACTACAGGAAATATTGTGTGCTGTTTTGTGTGGCAGGATTATTGTGCTCCAGCCAAAGTTTGCAGACAGAATTCATTCAGTCATATTAAAAATGCTTACTAATGGCTGAGAGGTGCAGGTGAGGCATATTGTATTTGTACAGGAAAAAATATTGTAATAGTTATTGCAGCTTTATAACAGTGACACTGCAAAAGTAGTGCTTGCATATTGAAAATTAAACACCTTTATAATAAATTTGCTGCCTGAGTTTTTTGTTGGAGGTCGCGGAGTCGGTATGTATAAACTCTTGCTAAAGGGTCAATGACATACAACAGCATTATGTTTTTAGCAACGTAGCGGCCATTGAACGGTGTTGCGGCGTCATTTATCGCTACTAAACTTGCCAGATGTGCAGAAGGTACACAGCGCTGTCTCTTATTGGCTTGACAGACAAGTTTGACAGCCAATGAGAAGCTGCCAAACTTTATAGACATAATCCTGGTTCAAACAGAAAACGAAGGGCGGATACGATAAACGGACGAGAAACATCCAGCCACTCGCCGCAGCTGGACGGAACTGCATCAGTTGGCACCAAGGTTGCCCATAGACAGTTCATGGGCTACTATAGTTATGGATCATAGGCTGTAGCCCTATAGTTCATGGGCTACTGTCTTTATTTCAACGTGAAAAGTACGATGCGAAAATATATATAGTTTGCTGCTTTTACCGAACACTAAATTTAAAAAAAATCTCCCATATGTGTATACTGCATTTTTGGTAAATACGTTGTTTTCATTAAGAGTAGGTACGTGAATGGGAAGTTTGTAGTTTTGTGAGAGATGCTCTTTCGCTAGATTCCTTAGAACAGTGATTAAAACGTGAGATTTTATTTACATTGATGCGCCGCAGATATTTATGCAAATATCTCAGACGCAAAGCATGCACCTTTAGGCTTATTAACGTCGGCGGCGCATGTTTGCAGGGACATGCTGTGTTCCTGACCGTAAGATAATCGTAGTCTGTACGTCACGGTAATGGCATCATTAGACACCGCTAACTGGCTATAAACTGTGGTTTGCTGGGCTTATCCAGTCCTGTTCTGCGTTTACACTGCCCGACCGTTTTTTTGTCCTACAGTATCCAGAGGGCTGCCAGCTAATTTGACTGCCGCTCTTAATCTCTCCTAAAAGCGGTATGTGGATTAATTTCCGTCTTTTTCTTGCATGACCTTTTCTCTACATTATGCATGAACTGTGCTGTGTGCATTTTTCAGTACTGTTAGTGTTTGATTCTCGTTGGTGTGACTATGCTCAAGACGCGGTCATGTGTAGTATCTTCCCTTAGTTTTATACAAAGCAAATTCAACATGCTAAAAAATGGCTCGATCTCTTGTATTACGTGGACTCCGCTGAAACGCTGTAGTTCATGGAGGGCATCGCGCTCGCCTAGTCCTGCAAAAGATTCATGTTTGCATGACGGTTTGCAGGGATGCTCTCTCGCAATGCTTATTTTATACGCGATCGCAGCTTTGGAAGTTAAATGCGCCTCGTTGGATATACGAGAACCAACATATGCACTTGAAGCAAACGATCGTTCGTGGCTTATGTAGGCAAAGAGATTAAAATCATATCCCTGAAAACTGAATGGGAGACAGCTTCGGGAAACGCTTACATTCTTTCTTTTGTATTTCTGTTGTAGACAAATGCCTCCCTTTTGCTGATATCAGTTCGTATGCTGTGGTATTGTAATCGAAACCAGAATTTCTTTTTAAAATCTTGTTTTATCTCGGCTGTTTTTTCCTTGTTGAAAGTGTGGTAGAGGATGCAGTGGAGGCAAAAGCACCAAAATGTAATATATTCGGGACAGATTTAGCTCAGCCCGCCAGACTCCGTTGCACTTATTTAAATATATCACAGCCCTTCACGTCTTTTTTGTGTTACTGATACCAAGTGTTTGCAGGAGCCAGTGATGATGCAACGAGACGTGAAAGCGAAATATCCACCACCGCTCGTTTTTCTTCATTTAAGAAAACGTCTGCTGCCTTGCCAATGGAGGCACATGCTCCATCATGTCCCTTCCTACTCGGTAGATGCGATTTCAAAAGGTCGCTCTTGAAAAAACTTTATGAATGAATCTGGGCTTGTTTTTCCGACATGTGCACGAAACAGAATCGCGCGAATATCCGAAGGCGATCAGGCAGCACCCAGCCCGTTTTGTCACTTCGTTCCTTTCATAAAGAAGCTGCAGAACAGCGTTTCAGTGCAGATGTGTAATAAATTTCCCCGGATCTACTTGCATTTTGGAGCCGCGGTTATATAGTAAACATGTGGTCCATAGCGTTTTAATGAAAGATTTATCACTTCTCTGTCCTCTTCGAATTTACAGCATTTCACACTTAATCTATCGCCTTTCACACAGTGCATGCGATTTACAGTATTCCACACACAAATTTATCATTAAAGCATGTTGCACACATTCATGACATGAATTCAGGCGTGCAGCCGTTCACACCCTCCTAGCAAAACCTAGTTCGAAGTGGCTGGATCCTATTTCCCTGCGACGGTTATAAAAGCCCTCTTCATCTGTCAGGGCTCGGATTTGTTGTCTTAGTGTTTGGTTATGTGTTTGTAATTGTAAATAGTGAGTTTTGTCTGGCGTTTTTAAGTCTCGTCTCCCATAATGAGGGTCCGCTCAACTTCCATATTATTCCAAATGTTTTCATTCGTGGCTACCTCACCAGTGCAAGTAGGGACATTTCCTCACATTAACATCTTGCTAAAACACCGAATTCAATTACAATTAAATCTAGAAGGGATAAGACACAGGGATTTTTATGAGCTTACTAAGATGTGCATAACTGATATATGTTTAACTGAAATCACGAGTATGTGTACCTGTTTGTTTGTTTGTTTGTTGTCGTCAGTGAATAGGATATATGTGTTCTACATTGGATGGCACAAGCTCAGCATAATGAAAGCTTCGGGTGGGATTTGACGTTCCCTCCTCTGCATACTCGTCTTTCTCTGGTATGGAGTATGGCGACTCTCTCTGGTTTGGTAACTCCGTCAGATCTGTTCGTTAGCTTAGTCAGTGACCATGGCATCACATGGCTAATCCAGGTGGCTGTGACGCGACAGTGGGATGTATGGGGATTCTGGGGGCAGGGTGCAGGGGGGGGGGGGGGTTAACAGGGGGCACCAGTACCTTCATCGCTTAGCAACCAGCTTTGTTTCTCCACTGCTACAGAAGAAGGTAAACAAGAAATGCTCCGTCTGTTCACGCCTTAAAAAACATCGCATGTTGCTTCATTTCTTATGTTTAGCATCAGGTAAAAATAAAATAAAATTAAAATGTTTTTTTTCCCCAACAGTTTATGCTTTTCTGAAGTAATACATTTTCACATAATTAAATTTTTGTGTAGGTGACCCGAGGAAAGCATTCCCAAGTGGGATGGGAAGTATTAGGATGAAGTCAGGACCAGCAGGGTAATGAAGGCTGTCCTTTGAATGGGGACTTTGTTTGCAGAAAGGCAGTCCCCTTCCACAGAGGTGATGCGGTAACCATGGTTCCCATCGTAGCAACACGCCAGCTAGCTGAAGAGGCTTTGTTTTGACAGGAAGTGATTGGGTCTCTGTTATGTCGGGTTTATGCTTGGGGTGGATGCGTCTGAGGGATGAAATGAACAGAACCATCAAAATAAGTTTTATTTTTCAAAATGAGCAGCCTGACCTGAGAGTTCTGGCCCCAACTGTAAATCTCTCTAAATCCATCAGTGTAAATTAGTTTTGTAAGATCAGTGTCTAGGTACCATACACCGTACAGTGGTATGCCCTAAAATGGGGGGGGGGGTAGCTTCCTTAGTTCTATGTTTTGCACAGGCCTGTTTATCACTCTTTATATGAAAGAGGCTCAATTGGCTGATGTACTTCAGTTAGTTGGGATGGAGTATCTGTGTCTCACTTTATTCCTCAGCTGTCTGTAAGGCTCGCTTTCTTTGCACTGTGTCTTTATTCATGTCATTGTAAGTCACTTCCAGCTACCTTCTGTCTGCCCCCCCTGCTGTGATGATTTACCAGCTGCCTTTGGCTCCGCTGTCATCCCCACATAGCTCTCTGCCGTTCCCCCACCACCTCACACAGGCACACACTGTTGTGACTGATATTCCTGATCTCCCATAATTCTCAGCTCACGATTCCCTTACGGCCAATCAGTCTCCATCAAGCTACCCATATTTTGGGGTGGATCGTGACCATCAGCCAGCAGATGTAGCATCCTGACACACATGCCTACTAGACTCCTGAAGCTAATCTAGATCGGATTTGTTTAGAGCTTGCATGTATTTGGGTGTGAAAAACCAAGTTTCTGTTATTGCTGCCAGTAGGGGGCACTCTTCCCTCTGGAGAAAATAAAACACCAACATCCCAGTGCAGTAAGGGAGACTCTTCCGCAGAGGGCACTGATTCCTGGATATGTGTGGTGTGGTACTGAGTACATCACACCACATTGTGGTCCTGGGCCTCCACAGACAAGGCCACATAGGACAGCCTGTACCTCCACAGAGGCCTGGAAGTTCATCCTGTGCTGCTGGCTGGCTGATGGTTCAGCTCCCTCCTCCCCATGCATTTTTGGACTGTCTCCCTTCAACACAGCCTAAGATCCAAAATTGTATGTTTGTCATTTGTCCATCTGATCCAAAAAGAATCAGGGGTCTTTCCAGTGAAAAACTGTATAGAAGGACTGGAGCATGATGGGTAGTGAACTTGTGGTGGTGGGGGGGCAGGGAGGTAACATGAGAGGGATTTTTATCATTTTTAATTCAACTCAGGATTCAGCACATGGCAGGTGCAGTGTTTGGAGCTGCAGTACCAAGGCCCAGTGTAGGAACAGCTCTGTGAGAAATGCCTGAACATCAGTGGATGGTTGTAGAATGCACAGTGTTCAGATGTGTTGGGTTGGCCATAGCTGTCCCAGGGTGTCGGACCCTTTGGCTGTCCCGGGGTGTCGGACCCTTTGGCTGTCCCGGGGTGTC